TTTTCATTTGGCGCCCCCCCCCCCCCCCATTCGGATTTCCTGGGCACGCCACTGGTACAGCCGATTGGATTTATGACACCAAAGTTTCCAGATATCACCACCAGGAGCCTATTTCATGGAATTTACAAGTTCTGCAAGTTACAAGTTACTAGTAATTACAAGGGTCGTGTCCTAGGTGTACGATGGGCCAGCGGGACCAGCTGGAAGAGTTAAACAAGGAGACACGACCCTTGCAAGTACTTGTAACTTGTGAAATTTGTAAATTTCTTGAAACAGGCCCCAGGGCGGCGCTGTACCGGCCAGAGACACGGTCCAAAGACGGCACATATACCTTTATCGGCGTGGATGGCACGATCGGACCTGTATGTATTTCATGCGGCTACCAGCTTCCTCCACCATCGCCTCCATCCGTGTAATGACGTGATAAACGGCAGAACGTAATTGGTCAGACGACAGCGACAGAATTTGGCACCGTATGCATTCCTTGAGCTCCAATAAGTTAGCAGGACGGCCACTGTAAACCTCGGACTTGACACGTCTCCCATCGTGTGGAAGGGCCCCATCCTGTCCCTTCTCAAACGTACGTTTCAGGATCGCGTAAACAGCAGGTCCTTCCCACTGGCCTGGCCACCAAAGTCACTGGATCTTACAAGTGCGGACTTCTGGCTGTGGAGTTTCCTGAAGCAGCAGGAATAAGTGAATAAACTCCTAGACTTGGAGAAAGACTTGGGGAATTGTTAAACTGTGGATTTATGAGTATAGTATTTTAAAAAGTCTTCATCGAATTTCCTCGTTCGAAGCGAAATTGTTTGACCGAAGGGCGAACGAATTCGTTAATATATGATACATCCACTTTTATGGATGTGATGGTTGCAGCACAGGGGAATCCGCTATGAGCGGAAGCATACTTCATCTTCAAAAACTATTCAAATCTGGTTACATCACTGTTATTCAGAAAATTTCGGCAACACATGTGTATCATGATATCAGGTGACTTTAAGAAGTGATGAGGGACTTCAGCAATAACCGAAATCGTGTCGCTAAGAAGCTATTTGATTAGCCATTATGATCACAATTCCAGCAGTTTGGGAGAATGTGACCGAAGTTCATCTCTTTCGAACGTTGTACAAAAACATTAAAGTTTCAAATATGGCTGAAATTGTTACTTCAACGAATTAAGGGCAATTCAGGAAGTATTGTTCCTTTCCTGGAGGAGGATTCGGGAAATCAGGCTTCAGACGTCTCCCTTATTGAGCAGATGGCATACCTAAAGGTATATTTTTAAGGGCAAATTTGTTCACAGTAGTTTGTTATCCAAAGCTTGGGAGAGGCTTCGGGTAAATTCCGAAAATTATTGCGAAAAGTGGGCGGGAAAACATTGATTTTCGGCATCAATGGCTACAAATTAAGATGGAGAATATGCTCAACTTTCACCCTCAAAGACTCGCGGACGGCGATCGATGTGAAAGATAGATTTAAATGAAGCATTTTGAAGCCGAGAATTATCCAGAAAAGGTCTTTTCCGGATGGATGCTATCAGCTTCAAGCCTTTTGAAAAGGTAGATGCCACTTGTACTTAAAGTACAAAATCTGGTCCAATATCCATAGAAATGCACAAATACAACATATCATACAAACTTTACGGATATCGAGTTACTAAAGGAAGAATATAATCGAAGACTTTTGAAGTTATTTGGGCCAAGCGTAGATGGTATGCGTGCTACATTGTATCAATATCACATGCAATCCTAAATAAATAATGAACGTATATCTCATTCTTGTGTTATGAAGTCAAACAGGCTACAGGCGTAAACTTTGACTTCGCCACGTTAATACAAATTGATTAGTTGAAAAGCCGTGATGAAGTTAGATGAGGCGCAACTTCAAAGACGGGATACAAAATTCATGCGACAACGAGGAAAAGAACTATCCGTAAAGAAACTCGGTGACGTTAGTGTGCGAACGTTGCATTGGAGACGTTTCTCGTCCCAGCGTTCGATCGTGTTCCTTCTCGAACTTAGGACATTTTAGCGCCAGTTCTTCGACTGCCATTTTGAAGCGATATTTGCAGCGTCGCTGTAAGGGACTCAGGCACTATAAGGGTTAATAGTTTGGATGCAGGGGATCGTGGAGCTTTCACGAAATGTTCGCCAATGTGAACCTAAGGATTTCATCCTCTTTCCCCCCCCCCCAGAGAATTCCATCCTCCCAACGCACGTGTACTGGCTCAAACCTTAAGTCAATGCATGCCTTCAGTTTGAGCCAATAAACGTTCACTCATTTTCATTCGGAAAGCTACCACTTGTAATAATTGGGACTCGCTCTTACAATATCGAGGATAAATAGTAAGGGTGGATTTTTGAACAGAGAACTATCCGATAATGCAGCTTTATTCCAGGGAAGATACATGATATTTCCTGGAAATAAAGCAGCACTATCAGATAGTTCTCTGTTCAAAAATCCATCCTAACACTCTTTCTTGATCTTCAATATCTTTCAGCAGAACACGTCAAATAATTATTACCAGTGACTTATTTTTACAACGTGAAGTAAATCATGTATATTATAATAGTAAGAAGTATTTTACATTCTTTAATGCAACCAAATTAGGGAAGATAGATTCCTTCATGCTCAAATCAAGATGAAAAAAAGCTGTACTCTTGAGGGGAAATTCACATGGAGATAGAATATGTGATGAGTTGATTAAATTTAAGGGAATGTCACATTAAAAGCTGCATTTTATGGCCCCCATCTCCCATCCAATTAAATTGATGATGGAACTGCCACCTACAATACGAGGCTACGCATAGATCTGCCACTCCCATCATTCATTTTCTTGTAGGCCCTACGTATAATACCCGGTCCCGATTAGGAAAGGCGATAGGCCTATTTTTCTAGTTTTCCTCTCCTTGCCACAAGCAAAAACGTTTACATCGTGGCTGTAGAGAGGGAGAGAATGGTAAGGCAGGCCAGGCTTGGACTAAACATAGCGCCTATTTCAGCTGTCGTCACTACCTGATGCTTCGCATCTCCATACCTTGGGTTAGAGCACAATAAGAAAATCAAGTATTGCTCATGTGGCGCCATGATGTACTGCCTGCCACTGCTGCCCTAGGCCCAAGTATAGTGGAAGCACGAACAACTTTCGAAAATGTATAAAATTTCTCTCTATTCCCAATATATGTGAAAATTAGGGAACGAATGAACCTTGTAGAAAGTCTCTATTAAATCCATAATAAATCTACCTATCTGAGCGAGGCGTCCCCATTTGCCGCCATGTGTTCCCAGGTGTCCTGCCTTCCCACCCCAAGTGTTCCCAGGCGTCCTGCCTTCCGACCCCAAGTGTTCCCAGGCGTCCTGCCTTCCGACCCCAAGTGTTCCTAAACTTGTCCTTCAGATGAGAACACATTCATGGAGCACCTCCTTGCACACATGAACGCATTGGAGAGCACATACCGGGAATCGGGAACACTTTAACATGGTAAAAAAACGCCTCCAGGTGTTCTATTACGTGCTCTCAGGAGTTCCCGGCGGGAAAAATTTTTTACAGTGTACGGACTGTAATTAGGTCAAACCTGGGCCGGCTCTTTCCTGCTCAAAAAATTTCAACTATGGAGATATGACCCAAGGAGAAATAACCCAAGTTGGGTCTATCGACCCATCTTGGGTTATTTCGGCATGGACGTGTGACGATAGACCGGTTACGGGCCTTTTTCTAT